ATTCACATCTTAGACCCTGGTTAATTTAGGACCCAATTTAATTTACGCCATTATTTTCTTCATATTTACGACGAAATAAAAACAAATCTATTACATTTTCGTATAAATAATAACTAAATCCCGATATTATAAAAAAAAGCCTTGCGCAGGGAGGCTGCCGGGCTTGTTAGTAGTGACGCCAGCATCACTAGTATAAATAATCGCATCTGGGGGCCTTTTGTTTTCACACATCTGAACAAGAAAAGGAGAAAAACTTTCTCAGGTTTCTTACAGCAGTTTTACATCTTTATTCAACATGAGCAAAAGAGCAAGTGATGGTAGTGTTGTTTCAAAACCTAATAGAAAGTGTATATGCTTCGCCGAGAAACTAGATGTATTAAAACGATATGAAAAAAGTGAGAGGTCTGTGGATATTATATGGAGCAAGCAATGAACATATTTTCTGAAGTGGATCCAAAAACAGAACAAAGCATTAAAATTTAAATAAATGCAAATGACCTCTACATAAAGATGTATAATGAGAAAAGAAAGCAGCTGTGCAAGGTTCTTTTGACAGCTTTACTATTCAAAGGCCCAAACCATCAACTTCAGCTACACCATCAAATTCAGCATCATAAGCAGCTTCAACAACAATTTCAGGTTCAGTAACAGTTTCAGCAACAGCTTTATGGAAAGCTACAGCTTCAGCCAGAGTTGAACCAGATGACTTGGTCATCTGAGTATAAACTTGCACAACATCATTGGCTGTCCTTATGTTTTAGTCTTTATCACCATTGGTAAGTAGAATTTTTGTTTTACATTCATAAGTATCATTTAAAACATATATGAACAGTAAATAAGTGTTGCTTTCATATTCATATGTAGAGAAATGATGATATTTTTTCACATGTACTGTACATGCATTGGCGTTGCCAATCGTATCGCTTTATTTCTTCACCATTAGTGGTAAACTACTTAAAAAGATAAATGATGCGGTATCCTTAAATGCGCACATATATGTTGGCATTCCCAATCCATCTCACTTTTTTTTTTCTTTGCCATTAGTGGTTAGCTACTTCTATTGTTCCATTTATTAACAATAAATAACATTACTTAAAATATACATACAGGTACTCCTCAACTTACGACCTACTCAACTTATGACCACCCGGACATACGACTACCGCAGCCGTATAAAATATTTTTCAAATTACGTATTTTCGAGTCCCGACGTTAGTGATCTCACTGTGTACTGACAAAATTTCCGTTTGTAATTCCCTTTAAAATGGCTGGCAAGCGTAAAAGTGAGAGTTCTCGTGATGTTGAGAAGAAAAAGAGACACCCATTTTAGATTTTCTATGTATTATTTTCGCATTTTCGACTTGCGACCAATTCGACTTACTACCTGGTCGTCGGTCCCTAACCCCGTCATAAGTCAAGGACTGACTGTATATACATTTTTTTACATTAATTTTACTACAGCTACAACCAGGGTCATATTTTCTTAATTTTCTCTTGTAGAACTATCATCCCGGACTCCCGGCTGTAAACACTAACGAAAACAATGGCGTCCCATCTCCTCTTGTGTGACCATATTATTATTCATTTACGTATATTGTATAAGGTGCATTCAGAAATATTATTTAAAGAATATAGTTTGCAATTTTCATTAATTGTATTGTTTTGGGAGGAAAATAGGGTAATAAACCACATAAAAGATATGAAAAGGTCACACAGGGGAACGCATCTCATTATTATTGCTTTATTTTAATGGTAATTACTGATTTGCGATACGATGATTCACCTTACACTATAATATTGGAGGACACATTACCGTCGTTATTCGAGGCTTTACTGTACAGTACTGTACAGTACTCTGAGGTAACATTACACAACAATGACTTCAGCTGTAATCCTTTATCATCACTCACTGCACATTATTAAAAAAATTCATAATAATGAAACCAACTACCAACAGCTTACATTTCATCCTTCAATTTAATTTATTGATGAAATTTTCTAGCATTTGAATCAATCACAAATTTATGTGACTTTTATACAAATTTAATATCCTTTTCAAATTAAAAAAATTACAGTTCATTCCCCATAATACATAAAATAGGCAATCCCTACCCAGGAGAATGGGCAATGATATGGCTTGTGACCAGCTCAATGCACACCACAGCCTCCCAACCATGTATACAACAGTACTGAATCTGTTTGTAAGGGTGGGAGTTGGAGAGAGCTCAACTGAACATGGAGTCATTCATCAAAACCACGAAATATTCTGTGAACATTAACAGTATATTTTCCCTTTCACCCCATTACAGTAGTTGGGGATGAAATACTGTACTGCATACAGTAGTTGATAGAAGAGTCCAAAAAAGTTTAAGAAAGTTTAGTCCACTTATCTACCTTCTCAATTTATCACTCGAACATTTTGGGGGGAAATTCCCTCATTTATTAATAAATATTCTCAAAATATCAAGAACTTAAAGATTACTTCTTTTTATTCATAGAATATAAGCCAATATTTTCTCTTTTATATTATTTGTTTTTTATCACAGATGTTGTTGTTGTTGTTATATATATATATATATATATATATATATATATATATATATATATATATATATATATATATAAATATATATATATATATATATATATATATATATATATATATATATATATATATATATATATATATATATATATATATATATATATATATATATATATATATATATATATATATATATATATATATATATATATATATATATACATATATATATATATATATATATATATATATATATATATTATATATATATATATATATATATATATATATATATATATATATATATATATATACACACACATATACACACACACAGTAGTACCCTGCTTAACGTGGTCAATAAAACCCACAGGGTACGGTGTTAAGTGAAAACCACGCTAAGTGAACAACAGAACATATGGGATTAATTCCAATAGAAACTGGCCCGACCCCCAAACTCCACTTTTTCCAACACAATACCTTTGTTCTAGTAAAAATAACATCTTAATTTTATGATGGTACATGCACACAATTAATACTTAAGAGAAATAGAGAAATACAGTCGCCAAGTTAATGTCCATTCAAATAATGGACTCAACTCCCTCCCCCTCTTCTCACACTACACTCACTGGCTCTTCCCTCTGAGAAATTTTTGGGGGAAAACCACTAAATTTTAATAAATAATACCTCAAACTAAAGTTAGGATAATACAATTGACATTGCTGGATTCCTTGTAAGACCAGGAGTATTTTGAATATAAATGTCATATATTTTGCACAAAAGATAACATATTTACTCAGAGTAAACATTATTTCTAAAATTTGTATGTCTAATGCAAAATCTATGATGTTTATATTCAAAATGATCACCAAATTGTAAGAATTCCAGCAATATAAATTATATTCTGGCCGGGTAATTTGTATGAATTTTATGAGCTAAAACAAATATCTTCAGTTAATAAAAAAAAAATATATTCTTCACGACACTATCTGTCAATCAAAGTACCCCACCTTGCCTCCCCCCCTCTTCCAACCGCGCGGTCAGTCCCAACCCTCCCCCCACCCCCCACCAATCCTCCCTTCAAGAGATGTTGGGTGAAAAAACTAAATTTTAACATTTAGTATTAAATAATACCTCAGATTAAAGTTAGGATAATATAATTGACATTGCTGGATTCCTTGTAAGACCAGGAATATTTTGAATACAAATGTCATATATTTTGCACAAAAAATAACATATTTACTCAGAGTAAACATTATATCTAAAATTTGTATGTCTAATGCAAAATCTATGATGTTTATATTCAAAATGATCATCATATTGTAAGAATTCCAGCAATGTAAATTATATTCTGGCCGGGTAATTTGTATGAATTTTATGAGCTAAAACAGGCAGGCAGGGTGGCGGGTGGGGGGTGGCGAAAAAAAAAACCGTGTTAAGTGAAAGTTCGGCTCTGGCGAGGCACCGCGTATACGTGAAATCGCGCTAATTGAAACCGTGTTAAGCGGGGTATTACTGTATATATATAATATAATATATAATATATAATATATATATATATATATATATATATATATATATATATATATATATATATATATATATATATATATATATAATATATATATATATATATATATATATATATATATATATATATATATAATATATATATATAAATATATATATATATATATATATATATATATATATATATATATATATATATATATATATATATATATATATATATATATATATATACTGTATTCATTTATTTTTTATTTTTTGACAGGACTTTGTCCCTAGAGATATAGAGGGTGTCTCCACAGTGAAGAGGTTAGTGGACATAGTTTATTAACCCCTTGTGTGTGGGAGTCTCTTTGCACTGAATAAAATTGTCTGGAAGCAGCCCACTGTTGCCACATCTTATTTCATAAAATAACTTCCTACATATTATCTTGAGTTAACCCACTCTAATGATCGCAGGTAGAAGTTTTTGTTTCAACGATTAAAGATTTCTACAAAACTTTGTTAAAATCTGAGTCACATGGGTGACCACTCAGGATATGATTAACATTTTGAAATAAAGGACATTTACACCACAATTCATTAAAGTCAAAACTGTGATCCAGCAAAAGCACTCAAACGTTGGTAAGCAAACAATAAGTTCTAGAAAAATAAACACAAGACTCTTTCATCAGTGGGCTCTGACCTCCAGTGAGGTGAGCTAAGAAAATAAAATATGTTAGGATCTTACATGAGCGTGTTCTTGTTTGATATATCATGCCTAAAATATCATGATATACACAATTCCTGGTTGACAGCATTTTCATCATTTTGCAGAACCTATCATCACTAATTCATAAATTGTGAAAAGTGAGAGATGAAAAAGCATTCACCTGAAGTCATACATAATATCAATATATTTCCACAGGGAAAAAAATAGTCTTACCTCTGCCTGTGTTGAGGAACTGTTGGCTGAAGATGAAGAAGAGTGAGACTTATGGTGGGATGATGGGTGTTTATCAGCTATGAGACTAGCGATGCCATAGGAGAGGCTCGGTGATGATCCCAGTTCGGAATGGTGTGAAGATACACTTTCAAGGACCGAAAGAGGCGAACTGCACAAAGCCCCAGGAAAGGAAAAAAAAAGAGATGCCACAGTTACATTTTATACATCCAAGTATCAGGATTTTCATTTCATTGCACCTGAATACAATATAAACATTTTACATATCCAAAAACCTCATTGCCACAAGTGGACCATAAATATTTCAAAAAGGCAGAAAATAAGTCTAACTTGAAAAACATTCATTGCTGGCCCAGGAGCACAGTTGACACACCCCCTTGGACCAGCCACGCTCTTACTTTAGAAAGGCTTCCTATCAATTTCTGTTTTGTTACAGTTCTTTTCCTATAATGTACCATAGCTCTACCCTACAACCTATTTCTTCCTTGTTACTCATATTGACATATTACAAGTAAGCCTTCAAGGGCAATAAATTGATGCAAAGACAGTGGGTGGGCTAGTGGCGGTGCACTGAATATTGTGCATATAATTCACTGAACACTGGTTTACTTGAAATACATATCTGATATGGCCAGATATGTATAAATTATTGATAATTTAAGGTGCACAATCTGGAGTGGCAGAGGTGATTTGTATGCAACTGATATATAAAAAAAAATTAATTTGGAACATTTGAGATTTTGAACCATGAATTCTTTTTTCAAAATCATACTAAGCAATCTTATCAGTATTTTTCTTGTAATATGGAAAAAAATTCTAATACTAAGGGAGTTAAGTTACATTGGCAAAAATCTTAAAACAAAACATTCAGTTCCTTCCAGTACAAAAGTTCCATGAGAAGATTCCCAATTTTAACCTTTATGGAACACCTGAAGATTAGCCACCCAGGTGCTTACCAAAAGTTTCACCCTCCAATCTAACCAGTCACCTTAAAACTAGGTATGGGGCTATTCTTCGGGTAATCCAGAAATGCTAAAATTGAGAATGGTCTCGTTCATGATCTCGACTAAATCGTTGACCTTGGGTATTTTCCATAGGTTAAATGGACTGCATCTATGCTATTAATCTAAATCAGAATATGGCAAAAGCCAACATCAATTAACTAATGAACCAGTGAGGACTCTCATCCACAATGACTATAAATCACCTGCAACCTTCACTAACTGTACCAATTTCTTTTCCTATTATGGATCATCACATCCACTACTTTAACAAATAAATTACTAAACCCATATGAATGTCCCACACAAAAAGTGCTGTAACCGAATTAATATAAACTCATTTTGCAAAAGATGGATGTGTTAAGTTTTGAGTCTGTGAGGTACTGTACTTGACTGTAAAAGTGAAAGTGGGTCCCATATGCCTGATTGCCCATTAGGGACAGTGTAAATACAGCACACTGTATACTAAGCCTTCGGTACACAAGGAGGCAACATGGCTGATACTGCACTCAGCTGCATTGATTTCTTCAAGTTGTAAACATTCGTACCCATTTACAGTTGGGTGAACCGGGAGTGTCCGAGGATCAAACCACCGACCCATAGAACAGGAGGCGAGCGTTGTATCAACTTGACCACCACACAATACCACAAATAAGACTCACCTGTAGCGATGTGATGATGAAGTACTATAAGGGTAGTTTGAAGGTCTGCTAGTGTTGGAAGACGAGGAGTGTGAGGAGGATGCCAGACGACTGATTTCTAGGCTGGAGCGACTGCTGTTACTAGATGGTTCGTGCCCTCTACTGGAGTAAGTTGTGGTGGTTGTCGCAGCAGAACCTCTGTAGCTAAGGGTGCTAGTTATACCTTTGCTGTTGCTGCTGCTGCAGCTGTTGCTGCTGCTACTAACACTCTTACTACTTTTAGAGGCTTTTGAACTGCTACTTGAGCTCTTGCTTGTAGAAAGAGCTGCTGCCATGGCTGCTGCTGTGTAAACACAATATTATCATTACCATATGTACGTTAATTTGTGCTAGCAATAGACAAGTTACACTCCTAATATGAAACTGAATCCCATAGGCTTGTTAGAGGCAGTAAAGTTAAGTACAATATTCATTCACTGGCAATGCCTGGGGTGTGACTCATCAGTTTATAGAACAGGAGGCAAGCACAGCATCCACTCAGTTGCCACACTCAATACACTAATTATGTAAGTCCAGAAAATTCTCCAATTTCCCTTCTCCCCCCAAAACCCCATTTACCAACAACACCATTATTATCCACTTCTGTGATTCGTCAAATGTGCAATTAATCATGATGGACTTCAATGCCTCACCTTCCCTCTGAAAATTACATAAATCAAGCAGCCTAATCCAAAAGTTCTCTTCAGACCAATCCTCTAGTAAACCATATCCACATACTGTGCAACCATATTCACTTTAGTCAATATGACCTTATATGTTATTTATCTACAAGTTCCACATTATGTTATTTGACTGAAATCTACAAGGAATATGAAATTGAAACTCAATAAAGATGACTGTACAAGTTACTCACTTCTTTCTCTTGGTCATAAAATGCAATCTATACTTCAGACTTCATTTAAGAACTACAGATCATTGTAAATGACCAATGAAGTTCTAAAACAGCTACAAATATTGATGATCCCCAGGAGTAAACTTCTGAAGTGGAACTCTCTGGAGATTCAGCACCAGACAAATCCCTCCCAGTAAAATAAATACCATCTTATGGCACATTTTGAAAGCAAAATGAAATAGATATACACGTTTATGCTAAGCAACAAAAACCCTTCAATATTTTCCCATCTAAGGTAAGTTATTCAAAGAGAACGTTTGCTTTTTTGAGCCCTTTCTGCCTTAAAACTTTCTGAAAGGTTTTCAGAAGGATAAGTGAAGTGGGTTTAGATCACCAAGACTATGGCTGCAGATCCAATTTTTGCCTGTCACCAGGAATTAATTACAGTATAAAAACAAAAAATAATGAACATTTGCACTGTGATCTCAGGTGAAATAAACATGGCCAATGAACACACTTCCTCGATATTGGGAAACTGATGATAACAGTGCATTAAGTGTCAGACCAAAGAAAAGCAATAACTTACTCATCCTCCCACCATAGAAGTTATGAGAATGACCCAGTCAGTGTAAAATATGGTAGTTAAATGAAGAAAAAAATAAACAATACCATTTATAACTGAAGACAGTTGTAAAACATGAGAGCTAATATTTACAACTCAACAACTCTGTATCTTTACTCAACTTCACACAATTCAAGTCTCCAAATATTTCATGGAATCAACTGTTTGTGGCAGTTGCTTTCAATTTATTGATGGAGTTCTCACAGGTTATTCATAGCAACCTGTAGGCCATAAAATGAAGTTCTGGAGCTATGAAAGAAAATGAAGTACTGTACAGAACAACGACAAAAGACATTAACAAAATCTGTATTACACAGATATCCTCAAAAGAATAGTAAAATGTTAAAATGATGGTGCTGACCATGTTGTGCTTGAAGGATCTCCAGGTTCATGAGGTGTTCAGGATGCAATCCCCCATAGCCCCCAAGTCCCCCTGTGGCAGCAGCAACTGCAGCTGCTGCTCCAGCTTGTCCACTGCTACCACCAAGGCCACCCTGCAACCTGGACAGAAGTTCCATCTGTTGCAGTCCAGCAATGTTCCACCAAGCTGCTGTGAAAAAAAGAAAATTAAAGTCAGGTACATCACTTATGACGTTTTACCTACTAAAAATACCATTAACTCTCCCATTTCCTCTCTACCAGCACCTGATTTAAGACAGTGTTAAGGTAGACCATAGTACAGTACATAGTAACACCACCCTTCCATGAGGTGACTAAAGTTAGGTATTGAACTTTTAACCCGATTCGTATATTGAGTGAGATGAGGAGTAAATAGTAACAACCTATGCCTGCTTGTTTAATTACTGATCTATGATAATCCCAAGGGAAACTCCTATAATTCTCTACCTTCAATTATCTTCTGAAGATCAGATTTATGAGTCATGCTTCCACCAAACTAGAATTTTATGCATACTATGCTTAACATACCTGTAGAATCGGAGAAATTTCGATCATATGAGTGCACAGCAGCTCCACTTCTCAAACCACTTTGGTTGTACCGGTTATGTTGATCTTAAAATGACACATTATTTCAGAATGAACTTTTATGCAGCATTCAAATTTTTTAATATAAAAGCTATATAATGATTACAAATCACTACTGTACTCAAAAAGGATTGATGGATTCATATTTATCGATTTCATAATGTGTGACGTATAAGAGGAAACTTCCAACAAGACTAATAATTCAGTAAAACCCAGTGTTGAATTTTGCCTAAAATAACAGACACAATGAAAGTGGCAAATTAAAAAACTAACTGCAGTATAAAGCAAACTTTAGGTAAATTCAACCTTAACTGTTTATGTGGCAAAAACTGCTATAAATATATAACAAATCAGTGAAAAACTGAATTGTGTCAACACCCAGTTTTTCAAAAAGGTGTAAAATAATTCTATTAAACTATACACCAACACAATGCCATCCAAATGCAAAAACATGAATATCTACTCTTTCAATAACAATTAAAATCAAGTTAATCCTTATTCATAACTCATCTTTTTCTAAATCAACATAACATTGTATTTAAGGAACGGCAACTAATCTTGATTCTTTTTATATTTATCAAATGGAATTTCACCCTTTGTCAAACAACCAACATTATTTGATTTTCATTTTGCAACTTTTAATTCTTCCCACTATTGATTTTACCAAAACTAAACCACAAAAATGATCATTTGGGATTATGTTCTGATCCCTAGGATATATGAACTCAACTGTGCACAAATCTGACACTAAACTACTGTGTAACTATGACCATTAAACTGCCTTGCTAAAATTATACGGTTTCTTCCACAGACTAAATCCAACCAACATGACTTCACTCAAGTACAGTGACCCCTCGTTTAACGAACACCTCGGTTAACATAATTTCGATTAACAAACTGCCTTCCATAAGGATCTTCAATTCGGTTAACGAAAAAAAATTCGATTAACGAAGTTCTTACGAACCGATCTCAACATGTTTTCGCTTGCGCTGACCAGGCAACCAGCTTTAGTATCAGTCCACCAATACATTAATCGGTTCTAGGGCTTAAATTCCTTACTATTTTAGTAAATATCAAGAAGTTTATACTATTCAATAATTTTAAAAGTTTAATATTCAATTTTTAGTCATTTTAACAATTATTGAACATAATTGAAGGTAAAGTGACTAGTTTAATGCGTGGCATCCAGCCTCTTAACACAGCAAACAGGAGTTAGTCTCTCTCTGTTTTCACTGGAGGTAACATCTTGCTTGAGACTCTCTTCAACTAAACGCTTTTTTCTGTGTTTCCAAGCAAATTATTTGTCATTTTGAAATATATTTTACATATTGACAATATATAATGCAGTGCAGTGTTGATTTAAAGAAAATAATCTTGAATTACACCAAGAGAGCTAAAATTTTATGGGTGAAAATGGCGCCATGGGGTGACTTCTCTTCCACCCCAATGCCTTCTCTTCTTCCTTCTCCTCCACCCCCATTCTAAATCCCATCATCATCATCATCATCCAGGAGCCTTCTACATACACACCTCAAAGTAAGTGAACTTTTCTACCATTTTTGTTGAATTTAGGAAATTTTCGGTGAGCTGAAACCAATTACCCAAAAACCCATTGAAACAATGGTTTCGGTTAACGAACGACCTTCTGGAACGGATTGAGTTCGTTAACGGAGGGGTCACTGTACCTGTAAGTTGACTTTCTTTTAATAAAAGACAACTACAGTAAAATAATTACAATAGTAATATCTCCGCCACGCAGAATCCCTCCAACCCGGGACCTCTCTGATAGCAAGAATTGAAATTTGCTCGGAAAATCATTCCCAAAGCCGGAATTTTCCGGAAAATTTCACCAGCTTTGGGAATGATTTTCAAAGGACACATTTTCCGGAAAATTCCAAGAAAATTTTCCAGGTACCAGGAAAATTCCAGGGTTGGGGGATTTTTATTCCAGGTTTGAGAGAAGAAAATCAGGGTAATTTTCCGGAAATTCCGAGAAAATTTTTCCAGTACAGTACGCCCGGATAATTCGCTGATTTTTATTTCATGGTCCTCTATTATTCGCGGATGACACCCTGAATGTACCCAAGAATGTCTAAGGGTAGTTATAAAGTTGCTGGCATTTTCTCGGCCGAAACAAGGAGCCATGCGTTCAAGAGACAGTAATTTCGTTTACCTGTAGTGTATTGTATATATATGTGTGTGTATAGACACACACACACACACACACACACACAAATCACATACAAATAAATAATAATGAAAAAATCCTCTCACAAGTAATCAGAAGAAAAAAAATTATCAAAAATATTGAGTCTACCCTCAAGCCCACTCCGTGTTTATTAATAAAGCACAGAGTGGACTTGAGGGTAGACTCAATATTTTTTAATAATGTTTTCTGATTATTTTTGAGAGAATTTTCCCATTATTACTTATTTGTATGTGCTTTGTGTGTAGTATGTGTTTTGTGTGTGTGTGTGTGTGTCTACACACACATATACTGTATACACAGTACAGGTACAGTCAGCCAAAGGTCCAGCAACCTAACCCTGAGTCTCTTACTGGCAATTTTACCTGGCAATACTGTACTTGGTAAAGTAAGGTTGTATTTAAAGGTGATTGTGATTGGTGGATCTATTTTCGGCTGTATTACTGTCAGGATAAATATTAAACAATCCAAAGGTAGAATTTTTATAATAAACTATTCATCATTATTTAAGGTCATGAGAAGTTTCCAAAAGTTTGTATATTTGGTTAAATAATGAAGAAATTATATTAATGAATTAGCAACTCAACTACAATGAGGAACGAGGACTGCCACAGTTTTCTAAACTGTGGAATATAGCAGTGGCTGGCGGTGTTTGGCACTAAGTTGGAGTCCAAAAATATAACTTATAAAAACTATCATAAAGTGTGGGGGGGGCATGGAAACTTAGCTGAGTTAAGAGGGTGCCAAAATCTATAGTTTGGAAAATTCTTCTAAACACACACTCTGCCAAGGTATATTAATCTATACAGACTGCATAAAGAGTACAAGTGTCTGGTTATTTCCAATAAGTAATTAGTGGTCAATATAAAAGGACTGATGCAGAACACAAGGACAGCTTCCATGTGGTATGTGGTTGCTAATAGATACAAGTATTTAAAAAAAAATGTAATACAGTACATTGTAAATACATTTCTAAGAGATTGTTAGTTATTAGGTATGTACAGCAAGATCTTGTATTTCACGAGTACTATAGACTGGAAAAATTGCGCCAAATTCAAATTCGCCAAATGCAAATACATAAACTAATGGGAAAAATAACAATATAGACTGACCACTCTACATCAACCTCTGATTTTCCCATTTACAACCTCCGAATGATACAAATTCAGCCTTTATTGACCAGATTGTGCTTTCCGGAAACTAGTTTTTAGGCCTTCCTCAATAACAGCCCAGGCGATCGCTAGGATGGCGCGGGCTACAACGCGATAGTTGCGTTCTTGTAAACCTCTTTTACGTTCACCACCAGCAATTTGATCACCAGAACACTTCTTGGAAACATTCTTCTTACCTTGTCTTTCCATATTCATCGCTAACACAACAAAATTGGAGAGAACAGCAAAAATCACGGAGAAATTGACAGAAACCGCGCAATTCAACTGATCACGTGATGTAAACAGAGAGCGCTGGTGTAAACTGTTATTAGTCCTCACTGCGAAACATTCTTTTTACTTATTCTTTTCATCCAGTATTTATGGGTAACAGCTAAATTTAAGAATAAAAAACGAAATTTACAGAGTAACTCTCAAAAAGCACTTCACAAAAAAAAAGACACAAATCAATTGAACATATGATGTCGAATGTGAAATGTAAACATTGCATAACCCCATGCCAAGCTTAAAACGTTGAGGATGGAATCGTGTTACAGCCAACATTCGTATGCAAAAGTTCGCGTTTTACAAACAGTGTTCCTCATTCATCAATCGCGTTGCAACCAATTTGCGTTGACAAAACACTCGTTGTAGCAGAAATGACTAACTGGTATGAGGGCTGTGACGTCATTCAAGACGGTGGCCAGCATTCAGCTTGCTGGATCTCGCGTTCAGCTGGCTGGATCTCACATTCAGCTGGCTGGATCTCGCATTCAGCTGGCTGGATCTCACATTCAGATGGCTGGATCTCACGTTCAGCTAGCTGGATCTCACGAAATTCACAATATTTTATGCCAAATATAGGACTTGGTTACATTAGGTAGTGCTCGCGAAATTCAAAAACGCAAAATGAAATCGCGCGAAATATGAGATCTTGCTGTACTGTATAAAACTGTAAGCTCTTATTATGAGTTCATCAATATTTCATACATATAATCACATTTGTTAAATAATTTCCCTTCATTTGACAAATAGTTATCAAAAGAAGTATCCAAGTTAAGTACAACTATAATACCCTGTATTACAAAATGAAAAATTAATATGAAGTTGTACTGTAGTAATGAGTATTTTACTTGGCAAACTTTGCAACAGTATCTCTTCTTTGTTTGGTGTACACTTCTACACCAATGTTTACCACACATCAGTATTGTATATCATGAGGGCTGCAGTCACTCCACAGTAATCAGGGAAAATTTATCCTCTATAAGAGATCACTGTACAGTATACCAAAAGAAACTGCTATACTATGTAACTAACACAGGACTCTTAACACGTAAATCCATGCACGAACTGCACATTAACATGACAGGGAGACAGGAAGACATGTCTAACTCTACAGATCACATTTACATTATTACTCGGGTGTAAAAATTAACTGGTAACTTCATATAGATACTATGACTACTGACAATATCCCACACAACCTTCCAACAGGGGGAGGGCATGGAAAAATCATTTCCATGGCAGCTCATTAATGATCCTTAGTGACAATTTTTTTACGTTCAAACACATCAATATCCTATAATCTCTTCTACTATCACAAAACCATTATTTCCAAGACTACCCTTAGCATACTGTAAACTAAATTCACTGGGTTTTACTTTATCTTTTCATAACTCTTTTCATCCTTTTCCAAATTACCAACAGGCAATACCTGGTACTGTAAAATAAAAACACACTTTACTAAAAAAAATTTAGACTATTTATCCAATTACCATCCACAACCTTTAACTAAATAAATTGAAAAGTACATTCTGCTGCACTTCTCCAATTGTACAGGTATCAAATTTCCTCAATACTAAAAATCAAAGAAGCATGTTAGGTGTAACATTACAGCTTCCATAACAGCTAAGAATAAAATAATTGTCCTTGACTCTGAACATCTATAAACAGTCCCTCTTACAAGTACAGTTCAGTACTACGATCTTCTTCTGCAAATTTTATAATAAAAGACCTACTGAATATGGAAATAAAGTATAATAAATCATAAGCTTTTGAATAATAATCTGTAAACAACAATCACAGAGACATCCTGATACAAAATACATCATTATTTTGCTTAAATTATACAGTCAACCCTCGCTTTATGCGGTCCCACATTCCGCGTTTCCACGTTTACGCATGTACCCCTTTACGTGGAGAGCGGCGCGAGCAGGATGCGCACAAGGTCGCCCAGTCATCAAAACATTACCGAGTTCTTCACCCGCCACCCACCACAGCCGGCCCAAGTCAGTGATAGTGATAATTATAGTGAGGATATGGACTTATATGGACTTTGAGTGGTTTGACAAAGAGGCCCTGCAAGCCTCTGTGGTGGATAGTGATATAATTGATACAAGTGATACAGGTGAGGGCCAATAATCTGCCCTCTGCCTCAGAACCAACCCCCCATCCCCGTGTGCCCAGCCATCTTTTCTACTAATGTAAGTGTTAAAAAACCTAATATTATTGATATTTCTCTTATTAATTAATTGTGTGTGCATACCATCATAAAATTAAGAAGTTATTTTTACTACAACGTACGTATTGTGTCTGAAAAAATGGAGTTTGGGGGTCGGCCCGGTCTCTCTTTCAATTAATCCCATATGTTATGTTGTTCACTTTACGCGTTTCTCACTTTATGCGGGCCGCCGTGGGTTGAATTAACCGCGTAAAGTGAGGGTTCACTGTACTCCTTATTGAATCAAAATACTGTCTCCTCTTCCCTTGCTTACACCCCTGAAAAAATTATCTATAATAAACGTTTCTATGTTTATTTTAATTATTACACCATTACATATCCTCATCAGTTTCTAAAATTATAGCGAATTACTGTACTTCTTTTTAAATCTCAGCCCTACAAATATAAGTTAAATAAGAAATGAACACTGGATAGTTAAAGTGAAAAGTGCTCATGAGAATAAGAGCCTGGCAATAAAGTACTTTTATCCTGTAAAATTCAACTATGTTAATTCTATTTTGTGTATAATATAGAACTGTACTGTACAGTATTCTTATGCAGTACAGTATACAAAAAATACTGAATATGAGTAAAGTATTCTAAAGCTTTTTATTTAATTTCCCACTTAACCAAGGATGGGTGGAAACACACATATTTTACCTTTGTTCATTCATTCTTGATATAACTGTCAGTTATGGTAGTCTCCTCTACAACATCATCACAAATTTGGTTTATCCCTTCCTTTACACAAGCCAGCATCACTCATCACCACAAGTCCCACTGCAAAATTCTCTCAATATTATGAAGGTTTCTACCCCAGCCAAGGCCTCAGTTCATGTACCACACAAAGGAGAAACACAATCCCTTTCAACCATTTTTGGTGTGCATTATAAACACACAAAACACACAAACACATGCATGCATACACATACTGTACTAACAAATTTTATTAAAATAACAATAATATGGTAATAAGTATAATCAAAATAAAACAAATAAAAAATATAGGTAAACTAAGGTACAAATGACATAAAAACATTGTCAACATACAGTATGCACTGTACGGCACCGTAGTCCCTCGCCAACTTCCGGATACGGATTTTCCATCCACGGATTATAGGTATCCATGGTTTTTACTCTGTAAACAATTTCACCCCTGCATCCACAGTTTAGCGTTGTGTCATTTTCCCTCCATGTTCCAATGTATTCATTCATCCACGCAACATTTAGCCTCCTGACACGCTCTCTCAGCGTTGTTATCTCATACCATGCAGACGTATTTTACTGCTCTGTACTCTGGATTTTTATTATGTATTTTGCCTTTAATTAGGGCCCTAAGCATGCATCGAGTGTTAGCGATAAAGGTGAGAAGAAAGTGAAGAGGGCAGGGAATGTAATGACTCTAGAAAATTACGTTGAAGTGTTCGACAGACTATCACATGGCAAGAGCATAGCGTCAGTAGGACGAGCCATGGGGGTAAACGAATCCTCGATTAGTACGATTAAGAAAAGTGAGACTACGATAAGGGGTTGCCTGTGGCACATGGAATAGTGCAAAAGAGAGTGGGCCCGTGTCCTCCTCTTCTTTATAATAACCACCTCTCCCTCCACATCACCTTCATCCATCATGGTCCTCAATGAAGGTAAATACCCTTATACGTACTGTTAAATTTATATTACTACAGTATACTCTTTTATTTATATTATGCTATTTTATACATTGACTGACCTTTAATGAAATGTACAATGCAGGTATTGTTTTGAGAAACAGGCAACTTAGTTTGGCTTTGACGAGTGTTATCGGTGATCATGGAACCTAACCCTCTAGTTCCCATAAGCCTTTAGTCTTACCAACCACAGGGTTTTCCAGGAACCTAACCCCCATGATTGGTGAGGGACTATTGTACTGTACCACATTTCTTTTATACAGTACTGTACTTGTTATTGTCACTCAACCCATCTTTTTTTTTCTATTTGCTCTTCTTTTTACTTACAGTACTTCAAGTTCCCCCTCTCCATAAACATATGTACTGTAATCTATCAACTAATTTCTCTCTCCTCACATATTCTTGAAGTGATACATAATGAGTGCAAGGTCTCGAAGCCTCAAAGCTGTACAGTCTAACACAATTTATCAAATAATATATGTACTGGACACTCCTTACTAAAATGTAAAAAATTCAGCTCTGTAACTCCATGATGTCAATTCCTTGACCATACCACAGGGTCTGAGTTATTCTCCCTGAGGCTCTCAGGTCTCCCATGTCTCTACAGAACCCACAGTGGGTGTTTGTTTTGAAAAATTTATATTTATTTTCATGTTTTATTGTTATTCAAATGGTATATACTGTAACTATTATTTTATTCATTTTTTTCATGATTCTGAAACATCAATAATCACCAAAATTTTTGGTTAAAACAGACTAGCTAAGGTTAGGAAGGTAATTACTGTGCCTAGAATGTTCATTTGACATGAAATAGAAATTCTTTTTATAGCAACAGTATACTGTACTGTACTGTATTATCATCATCAGCATTCTTGGAAATCACAATATTCTGTCATCTGGGGAGTTCCCCCAGGGGACACATCGATCTAAATCAAAGAATTACGTTTAAGGACAAGCAACCATATTCACTAGAAAGGTAATATTACTCAAACAATCATGTTAACATGATCAAAACCCCCGTTATGCAATGGAGGTTCTCTTGAATAAACATACTGTACCTGTCCATCATGTTGATGGTGAAATATACAGATGGTAACAAAAATACAAATATTGTACTGTACATCATCTATGTGACAAAGATAATAAAACAAAAGACACTCAGTGAAGTTGAAGGACACAGCCACTATTATGAAGGTTAAGGAAATAACCACAAAGACATTTAAAATAAATGCATACTGTACTTATAAATTGTTCCCTTCCACTCAAAAACAATACAGTTTAACCCATGTCCATACTTAAAATAAACCCCTGCAATGTAGTTGTAGTTTAGGTTTGTTAGTGTAGTGTTACTTAATACATCTTCAGTTTTAATGAGGTTTAATTAAAGATGTCTAAACACAGCATAACTTCCTAATAATATTCTGTGTATGGGAGTACTGGACTGTACAACAAATATACTTCAATATCTGTGTGTTTACAATTCTCACCTCCCATTGCTCTGTCCTGGTAGGCAGCTAAAAATAGAGAAAACTATTAGAAAAACGTCAGGAAAGATTTGGTCAATATTCAGTATCAAAATTCCATGCTATTTGAGTATTACTGACACCAAATAAAATACTTTTGTAATTAACTACAGAATATAAACATCCTACTGAATACCAATGACCTATTTCTAAACATGGTTCACCTACAATGAGAAGTATTGGTGAGCACTTTGCTGTACAACTACCAAGAGAATGAAAAGTTCTCAATGTATCTACAGCCTGGACCATGATGTCTAATGAGAACTGATACACTGAGCCTCTGGAAAAACATATAGGAGACAAATGGATGGACAGACAGACTGACAGATGGGTAGCATTACTGCTTTATCCCACTAAAACTTTCCATCAGGTGAAATAAAAAGTTTCAGAGCAAAAGAGTCCAGTATAGTTAATTTTGTAAAAGAATCGATCCTCATTGGGTACAATGGTAAGAAGGTTGTCATAGTGGGTTAGCAGTCCACTGGGTCTGAATTCAACTCCTTATTAAGTAAGCAACATGTGCGTGATATCTGGTGTGAGCCCGTAGCAGTAACATACACATACAGTTCATTATTTTGTCACAAACCCAACTGGTTCAAATATAATCTCACCATACAAGGAAATATGCCTCTCCTATATCAACCTGTGTGGTACTGTACTGCACAAAGCCCACACAACAGACACCCTGGGTGTATACAAGGCAATCCTAACTTGTGTATGGGTCACAGTGACAGGGCACATCCTCATGTGTACATCTCATAGTCAATCACAAGTCACAATACAGTATATAAAAGACATAACTTTATAGACAGCTAATACTAAAAACCTGTTATTTATAAATATTCCTGCCTATTGTTGTTGCACAAACCCTTTATGGTAACTAATGAAGAGTGAAAGTGGGTCCCATAGGCATGATTGCCCATTCGGGACAGTGTAGATACAATACACTGTACAGTATACCCCCACCTCTCGTTTTACAAGCATTTGATTTAAGCGTTTTTTGGAATCATGCATTTGTTCAATTAACACCTGTTCCTAATTTACATGCTACTATTTTTTAAATCACACGGATTAAATTTGCCGCGTATTCGCCTGGCAGCGGAGTCGCGTGTGAAGGCTGGTGAGGTGCTTGTTAGCATTACTGTCAAGTCACAGTCATATCAACATCAACGATTTTATTATTATTATTATTATTATTATTATTATTATTATTATTATTATTATTATTATTATTATTATTATTATTATTAATCATTATTATAATACAGTCAACCCTCGCTTTACGCGGTCCCACTTTACGCGTTTCCACGTTTACGCGGTACCCTGCCGAACACGGAATGCTCACATTCCGCGGTGCATGTACCCCTTTACGCGGAGAGCGGCGCGAGCAGGATGCGCACAAGGTCGCCCAGTCATCAAAACATTACCGAGTTCTTCACCCGCCACCCACCACAGCCGGCCCAAGTCAGTGATAGTGATAGTGATAATTATAGTGAGGATATGGACTTATATGGACTTTGAGGGGTTTGACAAAGAGGCCCTGCAAGCCTCTGTGGTGGATAGTGATACAATTGATACAAGTGATACAGGTGAGGGCCAATAATCTGCCCTCTGCCTCGGAACCAACCCCGTGTGCCCAGCCATCTTTTCTACTAATGTAAGTGTTAAAAAACCTAATATTATTGATATTTCTCTTAATAATTAATTGTGTGTGCATACCATCATAAAATTAAGAAGTTATTTTTACTACAACGTAGGTATTGTGTCTGAAAAAGTGGAGTTTGGGGGTCGGCCCGGTCTCTATTTCAATTAATCCCATATGTTATGTTGTTCACTTTACGCGGGCCGCCGTGGGTTCAATTGACCGCGTAAAGTGAGGGTTCACTGTAATGTAATCATAAAGATCATAACAACTAATGATGAAGAAGATAGTGATGATAACGAAGTATACAGTTCTGTACAACTGTGACGACGTCCAGCTGTTTAGTGTTTACATCAAGCTTTCCGCATCCCGCTTTCTCAGTTCATTTCAGCACTACTTGTTTGTGTGTTTATCACATATCTATAAGTGTTAAACACTGTTTTCCCCATCGAGCATGTCTGGAAAACGTCCATCTGCCTCCTTTGGTGAGCCTAAATATAAAAAGACAAGAAAAACAATCGCAATGGATGTCAAGTTAGATGTGATCACTCGCCTTCAGAGTGGACAGCGTGTCGGATGTGGGCCGCGTACTTGGTTTAAGTGAGAGCACTGTTCGTACCATTCGAGAAAATGCGAGAAAAGAAAATGAAACCCATCCAAAAGTCATTGCTCTCATATTTCAAGAAATCTGACAGGAACGCACCTCAGCCATCGACATCGGGCATCTCCAGACCACAGCCTACAGTTACCTCAACCACCGACAACTTGCCCATACCCTCACCTCAGTAGCCTCCCTCCTCAACCCTCCCCTACCCCACCTTTGTCAAGCAGAAGTCGCCAGTCGTCAATGTAAGAGTTATTTAAGATGTATTTACTATTGTTTATCTTTATTAACTGGTTTTTCTTTATGAATGAGTAAAGTAAAAGAATATTCATTGTGAGTTTCCCTGTACAGTATATGATGGTTCCCCTAACCTGTACCATTTACATGTATTCTTATGGGAAAAATATGTTTAATTTATGCATTTTTGAATTAAGCAGTCATTTTCAAGAGCCTAACCCCCACGTAAAACGAGAGGTAGGTGTACTAAGATTTCGGTACACAAGGAGGCAGCATGGCCGGTACAGCACTTGACCGCCTTCACTTTCCCAAGTTGTAAACACCTTAGGTATCCATTTACAGGTGAATGAAATGGAAGTGCTGCATCCCTCTTGACCGCCATGCTCCTATGGTAGCTAGTAACATAATATTGAACTAACTACTTCTAGCACCCAATTTCTTTTTTAATTTGAAAGTGGACACAAATAACAAAGTAAACCATCTGTATTGTACTGTATTATCACTGCTTTTAATTTTAGGTTTCTATGTTGTATGGCATGAATTGTATAGTACAGTACTGTACAATCAGATTCTTATGGTTACCATATTTGTATTAAGAACTACAGTAATCCCGCCCATTCCAAATTTCTACAGTACGGTACTGTATATCCAAACAGTTTAACTAATAATGGGGAAAAGTTCCCAACCAGATGGAAAAGATTTATTTTACAGTATTTTATTTTATATATTTTGCCATATCCAAAACAATATAACGTACTGTACTGTACTAGTTTACCCAACTCACTGTATGATTCAATAAATAGAAGAAAAATCCTCATATGATAACTAAGGGTTCCTCTGTGACATACCTGCTGCTGGTCCAAGACTAGCCAGTGCAGCAGCTTGCTGTGCTTGTTGTGCAGCTGCCAAACTAACCAAGCCTGCAGCTGTACTGGTTGGTGGGTAACCATGGGGCAACCCTCCCCATCCTGAGAGTCCGGCAGCAGCAGCAGCTCCATATGCACCCAGGGCCCCACTACCCCCAAACATGTTGGCTGGTGAGAGAATATAAAATATTAATATTAAAGAAAAGCATTACCTTGGAAATTATTAAAGTTCATAACAAGTTCAATTTATATAAGCTGAGAGCATACAATACTTACACAATTCCTCACCTTTAACACAAAAAAATTATTTCAATAAAAGTTTGAATGAAGGGTTTAAACTAATACCCTAACCGGTACATTATTATTTTTGTGTGATAAAAAGTTATGGCAACAATTTAGCATCTCAAAGCATACATATTATGGCATTCTCTCTTGCAAAATATTTACAAACACAAACTTCCATGCAAATTTTATCTTACATGCAATACAGGACTGCTTTCCCAAGACAATTAAACACAAAACAATAGATTATCTACTCCACTGATAAGGCTCAATGGCCCATTTTCTTCCTAGGCTGCAATGATATGGTTCAATGGCCCAACTAACTAGCTATGTATAGTACAGTACAGTACAGTACAGATTATACAAATCAAGCACCATACATACAATTTTCTAACTAATCTCATGTCTGAGTAAAATAAGATACTGTAATGTCAAGTTTGATAACGTTGTACTGTATACACTTGATGGAAAACAGGGATGCTTTGGGTAACCATAAATCCAGTCCCACAGTATATGATGCTCAGCAACAGAAGGGATACAAAGGAAAAAAAAAAAAAAAGACCAGCTATAAACTGTAACTTCAACTAGTATACTACATAACTGTCTTAAAATATAGCATCTGCAAAATGATCAATAAATACTGAGAATTTAAACTAAAAATAATTTGCTGGCATAATTACTATAGCCCTATTGAAAGAACCATTTCATGTATTCAAAATAAGATTTGCATTAACAATTACCTTGCACCCTTATACAGGGTGATTCGGCAAAGAGTACATTAAATTGGAGGATGAAATCCTTGGATAATTCTAAACCACAACGTCTCTGTGGTAAAATGTCAGATCCTGCATATGCTCACGTGTTCGTGACAGGTGCGAGCACATTAACCATAGTCCAGGCATTCTGGAACGCGTCAGACAATCAATGGTACGACGTGTACAGGCCTGCATTGAAGCAGAAGGGGGCAACTTTGAACATTTCTTTTAGGTTGTAACAAAGAGAAGTCACACTGTAGAGACCTGTGAATAAATTATTTCAAAAACTTACGGTGGTTTCACTTCAAATTCACTCTCATTAATACAACATCTTAAATGTATTGTAACATGGAACTCTGCAGAAGCTGATATTTTACCATAAACATTGTGGTTTAGAATTATCCAAGGATTTCATCCTCCAATTTAAGGTACTCTTTGCTGAATCACCCTGTATACAGTACATATGGAAGACATCCAACAAATTGTAATACTGTATTTAATACTATACTGCATTTAGCATACTGTACTGTATCATGAAAAAATAATATAACAACAATTCATCAAAAAATTAACGTAATACAATAACATAAATACATAGATTTAAATAGAAGACAGCTATTTTCAATATTTTCAAATACTGTAAGTGTAGGTAATGTACCCAAATCAATTGCACAATATTACTGTTCTGTATATATTTAAAAAATAAACATATGATGTAAAGAATGTGAATTTCATCCTGAAAACCCATTTCTCATACCTGCCTGTGAGGAATGATTCACATGTAAAGTCTCATCAAAGCCAATGGGTTTGGTTCAGGGAAACCCAAAATTAGGACAGTCATTAATACTGTACTTGTAATAGCAATTCCCGGACAGCAACCTTAGCCCAAAATTTTAGGCAATCAGACACAGCAGCTTGCACTGAAGTTTAGCAGTCTAATGTATCATGAATTACACAGCAACTAAATAACCCTTTCCTCATTTGTCTAGGTCAGAGAGCAGGCTTGCATACAGTACTGTACTTACAGTCAATCCAAGGTGGGACGGGCCTAAGTTCTTCCTTAACGAATCAGTTATACAATGGGGTTTCAGTATCAGACCCTCATTTATAGCTTGATCCAGTTCAGAATGTCTTGTTTATAAAATTAAGCAATCAAAAAATAGGAGATGGAAATAAATTTGTTGAGCTGCATGATCTGCACTTCGGCTCCACTTTTGCAAAGGAAGAATGTAGATCAGTCAAGCGTTATTGTACAGCAGGCTTTATAAATTCACATACAGTACAATCACAGACCATCAGTGCTGTTCAGGACATGGGGATAAAACACTAGCAGTCTGATGACTTAGAAGCTGGTAAGTCCCCAGCTAGATATTACACTCAAAGCCAATGGCCATGAATTCCGGGTAGCTCCAGGGTTAGATTGTAAATATTGTACAACAGATCTAACTAAATCCAGACCCTATGCCTGCAGAAATCAGAAGGGTGGCCCACCCTGCCCCTCTGAAGCACCATCCTGCTCCTCAAAAGCTCTGCCCTGCCCCTTTATAAGCAAATACTGTAATCAGTTCCATGTTAAGGAATTGTTGAGTCATATTTCAAATATTAAACTATGATAAAAATAAATAAATAAATTGAAAATGTTCAGAATTAATCTCTTTAAATGCCCCAAAATGGAATAAAATGCAAATGCCTATGGTGCATGGATTGGTTGTCTTCGGTGATTACATTGACTTTTGACTAAATTATTTCCACCCTGCCCCCTTTTCTCCCAAGCTTAGGGTTTGAAATCTTTACTAGATTATAAAATCCACCTTCAAACTAAAAGAGCATGGATATGGATACAAGACCATGTCTCTCTCTACCCTCTGATGTAAAGTCTGAGAAACAACTTACCCATAATGTTTACTAGAAATGAAGCCATACCAAGATGGGAAACCAAATACAGTACTATTACTGACCCTGAATGTAGACATCAGTATAGTAACCCCTTATAAATACCTCAGCTGAAGTGCAAGCAGCATCCTGGAGAGATGGAGAAACAAACATTTCTGATCCCATGTATTCCAATCCCAGGAAGATACACCCAAAATCACAAGCCAGTACACCCACAGACCTTCCAGGTAAAGAAACCAAGCCCCCCGCCCCCCCAAAAAATGGATTCCCCCATCCATTCAAATGGCATAATCTTTTCCTAGACAACACATCTGCCACAACATCAGCATCCCAGCATCATGCATGCTCACAAGCCCAACAGATAGGTACTAAGAGTTCCCTCCAAAAAGTGGAAACCCACACACTATACTGTATACGTACAGAATTATGTAGTCACTGCAGTGTCAAGAAGATAACACTATCTACCACCCTGAATCACAAACACCTGACCAAACAAAACTGTTCCTGTAAAGAGGAATCCACCACACTATTCTATACTATTAAATATACTGAATTGAAATTGTAGGATACCTTTGTTCACTTCCAATAGAATAGTGTGGTAGATTCTTCTTTACAGACAAAATCAAGACGAAAAGCCTCTCCCATCTCACGTGTGGGAACTTACCAAAGTCAACCTGGATTAATGTCAATCCCCTGGAATACTCTTTCCTTCCCCTGGGCCACTGGCTGAAGAACTAAAAAATATATTCAGTCATGACTCTCCAAATGAGCACTCCTTGGACCTTCACCGTTGTGACCAGTTCTACCCAAGGGACGCTGCCTAAAAAATTCCAAACAAACCCAGGTCTATTTGAGCAATCATGTGTTAGTTCCTGCAGACATGGCCGAGTCATAAAACCAAGGGGGTCAGAAGGGCTTTGGAACCACCTGACTCTAAATTCCTCTATAAATGGTACTTCAGTATTAATTAGTGATTTCTAGATGACATCCTTTGCTAGCCAGCTCTCATAATCACAAGCCTGCTATAACTAAAAGGAAAGAGGAAGAGGTACTGTACTACACAAAAGTCTCAAGAGTTGGACAGCCAAACGACCCCATGATAGTTAACCATTGTATCCACTGGATTGAAAATTCAATACAATAGTACAGTGCTTTCCAACTCTTATTATACAAATCTGAATCATCCAAAAAAGAGAATCATCTGGAACCCAGAGTCCCACATAGTAGCAGACAACATACAACTTGAGAGACAAAGCAGGAAAGTTGGGTAAACATTCTTCCTTTACCATATACTATACAGTACTGTAATACAGTACTAGTGAGGACTGTTAGGACCAGTCCAAAAAGCCATCGCTCAATATATTTAAGAAGCAAGGCACTTATTTTCTCTCAACAGATGTGTGGACAGGCAAACAGACATCATGTAGCCCCAATGATACCGGCAGCCAGAGTGAAGAGGTTAGTACAGTAATGTGAACCTGCAATAAGGAACAGTTTATCCAAGTGCTGTTTGAAAACAACTTATCAGATTTCTCACCTTCATTGGAGGCTGTAAACATTTTACATTTACCCAGCTATGGTTGCTGCAGAGAAGAACAGTACAGAAGTCTTGAGGTTTCCTTATGCCAAACCCAATGACTTGAGCAGAGCATTATACATGAGTTGTTCCAAATTGGTACAGTATCACATTACAAATTATGAAGTCTTTTCTTTCTGAATAAAATAGTCTGAAATATTAGTCATGTTTTCTTTCTTGTACTGTAATAAGAAGCACAATGCTGCACAGTAATCAACATATTAGAATGACTACTAGTGTATAATGTTAACTTTTATGATTAGTCAAATTATCTGGTAGTAACAACAATTGTTGAAGCAACTACTGTAATGTACAGTATTTCTCAGTATCACACAGTGTGTAGTTACACATCACTAATTTTTACACTGAAAACACACTTTTTCAATATCACCTTCTGCTCTCCTTCAATAAATACAGTACTGTAATCTGTGTTCAACTTACATCATCAGAAATAGGTATGCTCAGCCAAACAACACTCTGCTCGAGACATTTGATGCACAAAATTTTTAAGGGATAAATTAATAAAAGTACTGTACATTCCACATTCCTCAACAGAAAGTGCTAAACCTGCATCTTACTTAAAAGATGTATAGTACAGTATTAATATTGCTGCACAAAATGAACCAACTAGCAGTTACCTTCTTCACTTCTCCCATGTAACATTACTAGCACTGTATTATGCTCAGCCATCATTAACTTCACCAAATACAGTACTGTACAGTAGCTATAGCATTTCCTTGGTTTAGGATTCACACTTAATAATTACTGTTTCATCAACCTTTGGCTTTTTTACCAATCATATAACTATCCCTCATACCGGTGCTCCTCCAATCCCACCATTTGTTGTAAATTACTTGTCATTTTGACCACTAGTTTAAATTTCTTTCTCTCATGGATTTTTTTTTTGTATGTGCAACAGTAGAGCCAGTTAATGGTACTTATTATTGCACTGTATGTAACTCTGTAACTAATATTATTGACTCTTGACAGCCATGAGGACAAGTTGCCAACATTTACAGTGATACAGTACTGTATGGGAAACACTCACAGTGAACTTACTCAACATGGACACAATATGTGGCCATTAAGAATCATACTTTATGATTTTAAATTCTTTTCTTATTCTTTATTACTGAACAAACAATTACTGTACCTTTATATAATAATCTAAAAGATTACAAAAATTAAATATTACACATAAAAAAATGGAAGCAGCTTTTAGAGCACATAGCCTGAAGAACACTGTGAACGATGAAGTGAAAAGGTTAACCATGCAATGTTTTTTCTTTATATTAAACAGCACCACAATTACCATTTTTAGCACAGTTCCTCAAGTTTATCATAAATATTACCTGTCTACTGCACAAATACATGCTATAGGCTCATGTCAATACCACAGACAGAATATTATACAGTACAGTATACAGAAGAAATCACAAGCAGTTTAAAAATACTTTTTTCCTACAACACTATTAGTTTCTATCTCTTCTATCTCTATGTTGTCAAAATGCAACAATGGGTTCAGTTTTATGCTGCACCGGGCATCATACAGTTGGCATCATGGTAAAGCCACTTGCAACCTGAGCACAAAATGTACTGTATATCCATAGAAGAAAAACATCTGCAATATATACTTATATTTTTCTTTAGGACTTCGGTCAACTTAAACATTTCAAAATGACAGAAACTGGATAGTAAAAGCAATTATATCAGTATTTCAGTCTCAGCATCATTTAATGTGATTATTTTTATGAGGTCATATCTCAGCCATTATAAATGCAAGTACTGTATCAATAAACAGATAAAACATAATCAATTTGCATTTGCTTCACAAGTTTCACACAAAAAATTCATAAAAGCAATAAGTTCCCCAGCTCAGATGAAGTGAAGTGAAGTGACAGCATCGCAAGAGTTTGTTGAAAGCAGCACAAGCATCAAGCAAATATCAAAAACACACTTCACAGCCAGTCACTAACTTACAGAGTAATGCCTGCTCTTGGTGTAGCCATGGAGCTAAAGAAGAGAGAGAATTACAAAATAGCAGCATCAGCTTTATACAACACTCACAGAATCCACTTCACTAAGCTTAAACAGTATACTATACTGTAACTCAAAACTTAGGATGTGAACAATATGCTTTTACAAATCACATTTATTTCTCAGACTACAGTACACAGTATATAGTATGATGAAGAAAGGCATTTTAACAAGAAGCTATCTTAAATTCTTTTAGACTAGATTCACTTATATATTTTATGAAGTTGCCTAATAAAGAAATAGCTATGAATCAATTTAAAATCTCTGGAATATATACACTGTACAGTACAGTACAGTACAGTACAGTACAGTACAGTACAGTACAGTACAGTACTGTACTGTACTGTACTGTACTGCAGTAATATTGTAATTCTCCAATTAAAGTGGCATTTTCCTGAGTAATATTATCCAAGAATAACTTATACTGTACACTTCTTCATAAAATAAGAGCCCTCTCTAATCTCTGCTTCAGAGTTCAAGCCTGCCTTCCAGTGCCTCATACCACTTAAGTACAGTAGTGAAGATTTTAAAAGATACATTAACTCTAAATAAAGGTAACAATCTAATCAGACTTCAAAACTTATTCAAAATTGGAGACCAAAATGACAGTTTCCCAGTATCAGTTATGGTGCCTGTTAATACACAGTACAGTATAGCACAGGTATATGTTCTGAGCTCATGTTCTTTGACCATTAAACTGGTTTTTTTTTCAATTAAAGGCAACATCATACAGGCAATGAGTTACACTTACATTGTAACAAAATTGAACAATTGAACCTGCAGTCTCATGTTATGATGGAGCCTATACAAAGTGACCTATAGAGTGTAGTGTATAACAGCACTAAGTGAATAGGTAGGACACCCAAGTACTATACACCCATAGACATTTGTGAATGTAAGTAAATCTTTAATTAGTTGTATTTTCTCATCAAAATCATGTTCCCCCCCAAAAAAATTATTTAAGTCACCAATTAAGTTAAAGAGCAAGTCATGACATTACATGATTACACTAACATGTGCTCAACTTGCCTGTCAACTGGGATGGCCATAGTGTATTGGATTTCAGGATCAATCCTTCAGTTCCAAGTCATTTAGTACAGTATTGTACTGTACAAGCTCAACCATAAAATGGGATTTCAGGATCCATCATTCATTCATAAACCAATACCCATCATAAGTAGCTAAGATATATAATGCCAGTTAGATAATAGTAGGTGAAACAAAGGGTTCCAAGAGCTAATGAGACAAGCATTATTTTATGAAAAGTAAAATCGAGTGTAAACAGCACGTATTCATGTAAAGGTAACGTTTAAGATGAACGCTATGGGGAGGTAGTGTGCTTGGTGGAAGAGCCTCTCAGCTGATCCCGACATCTCTATAATGATAAGATGATGAAATGATGAACAAATGATGGAAGGATGTGTGTGTGTGTGTGTGTGTGTGTGTGTGTGTGTGTGTGTAATAATAATAATAATAATAATAATAATAATAATAATAATAATAATAATAATTAACGGTTTACTGAAAGAGCATAGCAGCCAGAAGGCTGAAAATATACAGTTACATAATTGGGGAATGGGTTTCGATTTACAAATAATATACAAGTAACATAAGTAAGTAAGTAAGTAAGTAAGTAAGTAAGTAAGTAAGTAAGTAAGTAAGTGTGTGTGAGTGTGTGTATACACACACACAAATAATAATTGGAAATCCTCTCACAAATACTCAGAAACAAATTTATTAAAAATGTGAGTCTAGCCTCAAGTCCCTGCTCTCTCTCTCTCTCTGTGTGTGTGTGTGTGTGTGTGTGTGTGTGTGTGTGTGTGTGTGTGTGTGTGTGTGTGTGTGTGTGTGTGTGTGTGTGTGCAAAAATGAAGTTTTAATAAACATTTATTTCACAAGAATACTTTGTTGTTTCACAATTTGCCATCTCAACAAAGTCGAGAGAGAGAGAAAGAGAAAATGGCTTGTAAAATGTTGTGTTAAAGCAGCTCCTACATGGTCAATATTATTGATACAATACACTGACTCTTTATCGGTACAATATGTATTGAACAATACTGTATACACACCCCTTACATGGTTCAATATAATTGCACCCAAGCTCATAGAGGCAGCATGGCAGACACAGACATGCCATGTATAGCCATTGCATTAGCTTTTTGTGTTCAGAAAAAAGAAAAGAAAAAACGTCGGTGGATGAAACAATGGTACATGAAAACATATCAATAGGTACTGTATAGCCATGAATTTTTTTAATACACTCAGATGATGCAATGGTACATGTATTGTGCAATAAAAATTAAAACAGATTTTGATTCGTTCAATATATTGTGCAATAATACTGACCACGTTGGGGGCGCTTAACACATGCTTTGATCTGTGTGTGTACTTACACACATTAATTACAGTCAACCCTCACTTTACACGGTCCGCGTTTCCACGTTTACACGGTGCCATGCCAGAACCCAGGATGCTCACATTCCGCGGTGGGTGTACCCCTTTACACGGGTGAAGTATAATTTTTTTATTTAGCTCATAAAATTCATACAAATTATCCGGCCAGAATATAATTTACATTGCTGGAATTCTTACAATTTGATGATCATTTTGAATATAAACATCATAGATTTTGCATTAGACAAACAAATTTTAGATATAATGTTTACTCTGAGCAAATATGTTATCTTTTGTGCAAAATATATGACATTTATATTCAAAATATTCCTGGTCTTACAAGGAATCCAGCAATGTCAATTATATTATCCTAACTTTAGTCTGATTTATTATTTATTACTAAAAAGTTAAACAGTCTGGTATTCCCACACATTCATCTGGTAGGGAGGGTTGGAGGGAGGGAGGGAGGGACCAGCGACCGACCACCTGGCACCATGGTGTGAAGAATATTTTTTTTTTTATTAACTGAAGATATTTGTTTTAGCTCATAAAATTCATACAAATTACCCGGCCAGAATATAATTTACATTGCTGGAATTCTTACAATTTGATGATCATTTTGAATATAAACATCATATATTTTGCATTAGACATACAAATTTTAGATATAATGTTTACTCTGAGTAAATATGTTATCTTTTGTGCAAAATATATGACATTTATATTCAAAATATTCCTGGTTTTACAAGGAATCCAGCAATGTCAATTATATTATCCTAACTTTAATCTGAGGTATTATTTAATACTAAATGTTAAAATCTAGTTTTTTCACCCAACCTTTCTCTTGAAGGGAGGGTTGGTGGGGGGTGGGTGGGGGGGTTGGGACAGATGGACCATCTGGCCCGGTTGGAAGAGGGGGGGGGAGGCAAGGTGGGGTACTTTGATTGACAGATAGTGTCGTGAAGAATATTTTTTTTTTATTAACTGAAGATATTTGTTTTAGCTCATAAAATTCATACAAATTACCCGGCCAGAATATAATTTACATTGCTGGAATTCTTACAATTTGATGATCATTTTGAATATAAACATCATAGATTTTGCATTAGACATACAAATTTTAGACATAATGTTTACTCTGAGTAAATATGTTATCTTTTGTGCAAAATATATGACATTTGTATTCAAAATATTCCTGGTCTTACAAGGAATCCAGCAATGTCAATTATATTATCCTAACTTTAGTTTGAGGTATTATTTATTACTATACCTGGTTTTCCCCCCAAAATTTCTCAGAGAGGGAAGAGCCAGCAGTGTAGTGTGAGAAGAGGGGGAGGGAGTTGAGTCCATTATTTGAATGGACATTAACTTGGCGACTGTATTTCTCTATTTCTCTTAAGTATTAATTGTGTGCATGTACCATCATAAAATTAAGATGTTATTTTTACTAGAACAAAGGTATTGTGTTGGAAAAAGTGGAGTTTGGGGGTCAGCTGGTCTCTATTTCATTAAATCCCATATGTTATGTTATTCACTTTACGCGTTTCTCACTTTCCGCGGTACCCTGTGGGTTACATTAACCTCGTAAAGTGAGGGTTGACTGATATACAAATTCTTGATGAGACTTCAAACAAACAAAATTTCTCCCCACCCTTTGAGACATAAAATGAACAGCCTGAATAATAATACCTGTGCAGGGTATTTCAAATGCCACTCAGCTGAGCAGCTCTTCAGCCAAGCACACTACCTCCCTGTAATATTTGTCTTTACGTGAATATGTGATGTTTACACTTGATTCTACTCTTTATAAAAAGTTAATTTGCATCTGTTGCTTTATAAGATTGGTGTCATTTGTCTTGATATACATAATAATTAGTGAAAAGAAAAGAAGTACAGAAGTGGTGAATGTGTTCTCCGAAAGTGTGAATGGGTTTGCGACTTCAACGGTAAATATTGTTTACAGTATTTCAAACTTTTTCCACTCATACCTTGAAAATTAATGCTTTCAAGCAGCTATATCTTATATACATTAAATTCAGCAATAAAGTGAGCCAAAACTGGGTATTCTTAACAGTTATACAGTACTGCAGGTACGTATATGGATTTATGTGCGATACAGTCGGCCCTTAACATACGCGGGGGTTAGGTAACAGAGATACCCATGAATGTTAAAAATCTGTGTACTTTTGCTGCCCCCCCCTAAAATAACCCCTGCCCCCCCCCCCCATGTCCTTATTTACCATATATACCTGTGTGTAGTTCGAGTTTTTAAGACCAAATTATTTGGCAAAAAATTGGGGGTCGACCTTTAAACGGGTACCGTAATAGTTTTGTTAGGTTGAAAAATATTTACCAGTAACTACCAGTAAACAATGGAAACGACGCACCACCAGCTGTCAGTGTCAGTACAGTTGCCAGGGCAGATCTCTTGCGTCATCATAGCAAGCCCAAAGTAAGTAGCCAAATGCATGGTATGGTATGCACAGGACGATGTAAAACATAAAGTATTCATTTTTTTAAGTTTATTTATAGATACTGTACATAAATTTTTGTTCATTACATTTGAAACATCAATCTTTGTT